GGAGCAGAGTGAGCCTGGGGACCATCTTAATGTTCCAAGGAGGACAGGAGTCCTCAGAGACCGATAGGAACATGTGAGAAAAGACACGGGCGCCAGCCTGATGGGGCCCTGGCTGGCCCGAGTGGGGCCAGTGACTGTGAAAGAGCCAAACACAGAGACAGGACTGGGGCAAGTCCGGCCCCGGAGCCCGCGGCCACCGCCCGCTGTGACATGGGCCCGTTTTGGGGTTAATCCTCCGCTGCCACCATCGTGAAATTCTCTCTTGAAAACGAGGCTCTGCGCTTTCCTTCTTGCCCCAGAGCCCACAGATTATGTGAGTCCGTCCTGGGGCTGAGGGGAGGCAGGGAGGTCTCAACTCAGGACTTCAGGTGGTTGAATGGATGATCCAGGTAGAAAATGAGCCTGTTGCAAAAGCAGTATTTGATTCAGGCAGAGGTCATCACTGGCTATGAAACTCCGGGGGAGAGGTCAGGAGACAGAACTCTCTCGTGGCCTCTGAGTCTCCGTGCATTTTAAAGAGGAGACTGAGCTGAATGCCATTAATTATGAAAAGGGAAACGGCCCTTTGCTGTGAAGAGATCGGGCCAACCCCGCCTGAACCAAATAGCCCACCTTGGCCAGTAACACAAGACACATGGGTTCTGTGGCTCCTAGTGAGGTACGGTGGCAAACACAATGTGTTTAACCCAAATCTAATCATAAGGAAACAATCCAACAAATCCAGACTGCAGGACCTTCTACGCCACATGCAGTGTCAGGAAGGACAGAGGCAGGGATTGTTCTGAATTCAAGGAGACCAAAGAGAATTGACAACCAAGTGGAACGCCTGGTCCTTATTTAGATTCTGGGTTTTTAAAAGGCAATGAAAGACATTTTGGGGACAATCAAACAAGTTTCAATGTGGACTGTGTATTTGATAATAGTATTGTTTCGATGTTAATTTTCCATGGGTATGATCAGGATATTCTTGTGATTTTGTGGGCTAGTGTCCTAAGAGATAGATACACAGTGAGGTATTTAAGGTTAAAGTGTATGTAACTAACTTTAAAGTGCAGGAAAAAAATATATGGACACACACACAGACACATCTGAGCTACGTAAAGGGTATACGAGTGATCATTATAGTGGTTTTTCAACGTTTCCATAAGTTAATGCATTTTTCAAAAAAGTTTCTAGAGAAATGTGATTTTCATGGCAACCGGTTCCTTTTCAACCCTTCAGGGAACATTTAGCCCGAATCTTCTGGGTGGCATGCCTGATGCAATTCACAAAGTGTAACCGAGGCACCCCCCAATGCGCAGGCGAGGGAAGGCGCAGATACCCCCAGCACAGGCCTCGTCCGGGGAGGTCATGCAGATGTCTCACCTGCCTGTTCGCTGGGGGCTCACCTCCAGGCCAGCTGCTCTGTGGAGGGACGTCGTGGAGCTGCGCCTGCCTCTGCCCCCTCAGGGCAGATGCAGCGGCAGATCACCGTCCACCAGGAATGAACCCTACCTCGATCTCATGTTAGTCCTGATGGAGGCCCTTCCACTGGTTTTGTGACCCACAAGGTCAAGTTCAAACTCCGTGGCTCAGCGTACGTCTCATGCACACTTTATGTGTGCACGTGAGCTTGCCACCGGTCCAAATGGACTATGCCCTTTTAGTATTATGAGCCTTTGTGTGGACAACTCCCTTATCAGGGATCAGACTGCCTGGGACGCCGGGACTCGTTCTTGGATAGCTCAATCCAAGCTCAGTCTTCTCCCAGGGACTGGCTTGCTGAGTTTTACTGCTGTATGTCCTCCCACGGCCAATGTATCCCCAAAAGCCTGACCTGGCCTGGAGCTCTTAGAAACTGATATTCAACAAATATATATTGAATAAAGGAATGAGTGAAAATCCCAGAAAGAAGCAAGTGCTCCAAGGGAATGAGTGTTTCTCACATCAGAATAATGGAATCTGAGAATCTCGAGGCAATCAGTCTAATAAGCAGAGTAGAGGAGATGTTTCTCCTGGCACGAAATTAATATATAAATACACACTCCATACACCCAGGGCCATCCTACACGATATGATCTCAGAAATGTGTTCAAGAATGTGAACTGTACCAAAAGCTTCCTAATAAGTCCTGGGGACTTCATTCTGATTCCTTCCAGTTTTTAAAGCCTTGTTCTTCAACTGCTAAGTCTGAACGTCCGGTTGAATTCAGAATGAGTTGCACCTCATCAAAAACAGAAGTTACTTCTCGGGTTGCGTGAAAGATCTGGTAAGTTGTTTTAAATTTTCATTTTTTTTAAAGAAAATTAAATTGAGGTGGATTTTTCATTGATAGTGAAATATATACTAAGCTGTGGATTAATACCTTCATACAAATTTATCTAAACAGAGTGCTTGCCTGTCTTATTTATGTTGAGGTCTCTAAAGTCTGCAGTGCAAAGGGGAAAGTACTTTCCTGGAATATATTTGTATCTGTCACAAGCTACATCTTGAGGAAATTGGCAGGCATTTGAAATCGAATAACTCCTTAGCGTTCTGTTTAGTTTGGATTTCTTCGACTCGGGAGCGGAGGGGGGAAGGGGGTGCTTAGAACTAAAATCAGGATAATCTGCTTTTAACAAGCATCTAACATTTTCCTTTGCTTTGTGTATCATAAGTGTTCGATAAATGCTGGTTGAACTGAGTCATCTCGTTCATCCTTCCTTAGGGTCATGGGGGTTATTCGGTCTATTACATATGGAAGAATTCTGAAAGGAAAGAATCTCCAGAATGATCTCTCTACCAACCGTTCCTCTCCCCACTCCAACTCCCTGTACTCAAAACTGCCAGGCCCGGCTCGCTAAAATGCGTCTTGGATCCTCCCTCAGCAAGCACAAGTCTGTGGAGTGAATCCCCGGTTTGCAGTCCCCCACAGCCCACTCCTTCCCTGTTCTCTGCGACCCTGGGTTCTCACCCACAGGATGCAGAGCCCCGTGGACACTCTGGGTCTCTGCTCCCCTCCCCAGCTGCTCCCCGCCGAATGCCTTCCCCTGCCCTGTGGGTGTGGGGAAGTCCTCTTTTCACCGGGCAGGGCAACCCTCCGAGAAGATCCCACGTGGCCTCCCCCCACTGCTGGAGTACCCTGTGCCTGTCTGCAGCGTATCTGCAAACAGAAGAAAGAGTGATAGATCTTCATACATGCTCTTCGTACCCTTTACAAATGTGTGAAAACATTCAGCTGCTGTAAAAATCTTTTGAGGAAAATAAGATCTAATTAGCGTCGACTTTCATGTTGGGAAAGCTGTGGGTTTTCGAAGGAATTCCTTTCACTCATTCAACGACTGTTTTTTTGGTACCTGCCCTGTGCTAGGCCCTGCAGAAGAAAGGGGATATGAGCCCTGCCTTCAGAATGCTGAAGCTCTCTGGTCCAGGGGGATGTTGTCGAGCACCCACCCTGCACCAGGGACCAGGGCTCAGAACCAACTACCCTGCACCAGGGACCGGGGCTCAGAACCGACAGGGAGACACAGAAGAGTGGCCAGGGAAGACGAAGCTGCCACTCGTGGGTGGGTTGCAAATCAGGGAGTGGGGGAGACGTGCTAGGAAATCAGTGGCTTTGCAGAAGCCTTGGATGCTGTGCTTGGGAGTTGGCGCTGCTATTTTTTTAAGGCTGAGAATGAAAAAGAAACTCAAAATGAGAAGGATGGCACGTGGAAGTAGCTAGAGGTCACAGAGGGGAGTACCAACAGGCCCTTGAGCAATCAGGATGTGGGCAGGATCTGTATTTTTAAATGAGTCCTGGTGGGGCTTCCTCAACTGGGTCACGGCTCCCTGAACCGGGCATCTGAGTTACGGCAGGAGCCAGGACCCTCGCCAAAGGGCACACCCGCCGTCCACCAGGTGCCCCCTCTGCCCTCACCCAGGGCCCCTCCACCCACCACATGCCCCCAACACCCTCCAGGTGCCCTTCTCGACTAGCCTTCCCTCCTCAGTGGCAGGTGGCTCGGGTGCTGCCGCCTCCTCTTCGCTCTTTGTCTCCGCCCCTCTCCCCAGGCAGGTCGGGAGGCTGTAGGGGGCAGCTTGCTCAGACTGCTGCCAGATGACCCTTCCTGCAAAGGGGTGGCCGGGGACAGGGCCCTGCACTGGACAGGGCCCTCCACCAGACGAGGCGATGCCTGAGTTTCTAATTGGCCATCCCAGAAGCAGTAACCTGGGTAGAAACCCACATCTTGACACATGACTCACGTCCAGGACAGTGCCTGCAAAATAGTGGGGACCCGCTCAGTGGCAGAGAACCCATTAAATGAGGAGGAAGGAACTGTGGACACTGCCCAGCATGCCAGGCAGCCGGGCCTCGTCTAAGTCAGGAGCTGGGACGGATCCAGGCATCACCAAGCCCATCCAAACCTGACAGGCGGCTGGGGGTGTGGTGAGGGCACATCCTGCCAGCGCAGGGGTCACCCAGGACCACCGCAGGAAGCTGGGCCTGCTTGGGGCTCATGCACACGGTGGTCTGGTGGGAGCTGCTGGGTGGGACTCAGGTTGGGCCTGGGTCTGCTCAGGACTTGCTGGAGGTCGGGGCCACCAGGGTCTGCGGGGGCTGGGGGCCAGGGCCCCTTCCAGGAAAGGTTCCCCGGAGAGCTGTTTCCTCACTCTGGAGGCAGGGCCCACTTGGGGACCTGCGGGGCTTGGGGCCTGCCAGGGCTTGGAGCCTGCCGGGCCTGGCCGGGGCCTGCCGGGCTTTGGAGCCTGCCCGGGGATTGGGGCCTGCCGGGTTTCGGGCCTGCCCCGGGGATCGGGGCCTGCCCAGGGGTTGGGGCCTACCGGGGCCTGGGGCCGGGCTGCCGCTCGGGGCCTGCCGGCTCGGGCCTGCGGGTTTTGGGGGGGAGGGCCTGCCCCTGGGGCCCAAGGCCCGCCCGGGGTCAGGGCGGCCCGCTCCGCCCCGCCGGCCCGGCGCCCCCTCGCGCCCCCTCGCGCCCCGGGCTGGCCCTGCACGTCTCGCGAGCGGCCCGGAGCGGCGGGGGGAGGCGGGGCCGGGCGGCCGGGCAGGGCCGGGGCGGCGCCGAGGCCGGGCCGGAGCGGAGCCCGAGCGGAGCGGGGCGGCGGCCGGGCGGGGGGCGCGGGCCGGCGGAAGATGGCGAACGTGGGGCTGCAGTTCCAGGCGAGCGCCGGGGACGCGGACCCGCAGAGCCGGCCGCTGCTGCTGCTGGGGCAGCTGCACCACCTGCACCGCGTGCCCTGGAGCCACGTCCGCGGGAAGCTGCAGCCCCGGGTCACCGAGGAGGTGAGCGGGCCGCGCGGCCGCCCGGAGGCCCCGCCCGGCGCCCGCAGGGGCGCGAGGCCAGCCCGGGAGGCGCGGAGGGGGGAGCTTCCCCCCGCCCCCGGAGCCGCCCGCGGGCGCTGCCTTCGAGGGGCCGCGCGGCCCTGCCGGGGGAGCCGGCCGGCCGCCCGCTCCCGGAAGCCCTCCCGGTGGCACCTGGCTGGGGCCCACCCCGGTGCGGTGCGGGGTCGCGGCGTTTGAAGCCCGGCGGGCCCAGCCTGGCCTTTTAAATCCCCACGGCTTAATCCCACAAGGGTGGAACCGTGCCAGCAGACACACACACGCTGAGCTGCAGCGAGAGGCCACACATCTTAATTAGGGATCATGGGTGCCCCGGGGAAGCTGCCGCAGTGCCCGTTTAGCCTCGCAAGCGTCTGCACGCAGGGCCCGGCTGCCGGCATGCGGACTGTTTGATGTCTAGCGTCTGTCTCTTGTCTCTCCCCTTCCCGTCCAGCTCTGGCAGGCCGCTCTAAGCACGCTCAACCCAAACCCCACGGACAGCTGCCCCCTGTACCTGAACTATGCCACCGTGGCCGCCCTGCCCTCCAGGGTGAGCCGGCACAACAGCCCCTCGGCGGCCCACTTCGTCACCCGACTGGTGCGCACCTGCCTGCCGCCGGGAACCCATCGGTGCATTCTGGTGAGTGCCGACGGCCCTCGTCGTACTCGTGGGGAGCGGGTGTCCCCGTAGCTCCGCCCCGGTGCGGGCAGGGCACCCCGGCTCGCAGGACCTCCGACGTAGACGTGCCGCCACAGCCCAGGACATCGTAACCCCTGCTTACAGACAGGGAAACTGAGGTCGAGAGACTAGCCCATTTGCCCTAGATCAGTTTTGGTGGTCGTTCTGAGCCTCAGACTCAGATTTCCTGAGCCCACGCCCCTCCACGTCCTACTTTCCCGCCTCGGAGGCAGTACACATCTGGTGGCTGATGTTTTCTTTCTCCCAGGGCTGGACGGTGGCTACCGGAAGGCCCCCCGCATGGCGGCTCTGCTGGGGCCCCTCTGTCCAGAGTGTAGCTCCTCCCCGGGGTTGCTCCCGCGGGTCTGCCCCTGCTCACGGCTCTGCCTCTCTGTGCTGCAGATGGTCTGCGAGCGCTCCGATGCCTTCGCCTCTGCGTGCGCCCTGGCCCGAGCCTTCCCGCTCTTCACCCACCGCTCCGGGGCTGCCCGGCGTGCAGACAAGAAGACGGTGACGGTGGAGTTTTTCCTGGTGGGACAAGACAACGGGCCAGTGGAGGTGTCCACTCTGCAAGTGGGTGTCCGGACTCTCGCCCTGGTTCCCCGGGCCCGCACGCATTGGGGCAGCTGGAAGGGGAGGACAGTGGCAGTGGGGTGCGGCAGCAACAGCCCCGGGGTGGGGGGGGGGCGGAGGACTTTCCAAACCCGGGCAGCTGGCCCCCTCCCTCAGGGGGGCTTCCTGGTCAGGACTCAGGCCTTTCCCCGGTATTTCTTGAGCACCTACCCAGCACCAGGCACTCTCCTGTTTAATCCTGAGAATCCCCTCCCTCTGCGGTGCACTTTTACTTATGTTATTTCATTGGATCATAATCCTTTTGAGGCCAGCAAGGCTGGGAGGGATTCCAGGTTAGGAGTCCTGGTGTGGGCCGACCGGCAGGTTCCTTCCCCGTGGCGAGTGTCCCAGACCCCGTGGCTGTGACCTCACCCTCCCCACCCCCACTGAGACCCAGGCCGTGTCCTTCCTACCCCACCCCTCACTGCTGTCCCAGGCCAGCACCCCTCACCGGCTGCCTCCTCCCCCTGGATCTTTTGCCCTAGAAGGAGAGGACATGCTTCTGTCTCTGCCATCTTGCAACAGCTCCTTTTTTCCTTCCATTGATTTCCAAACGTTGAAAAAACACGGTCTAATTGCTTTGCCTTTCTTAACTCCCTTTCCCCCTCAGCCCACCCAAATCGGAGTTTCCACCCCGCACCCTGACATTGATTTTTTAAGGAGCCTGTCTGCTGGACTTAAATATTGGTCATCCCGTTTGCATCCCCCCCACACCTTGAAGGGTCTACCCCACCCAGAGCCATGCCTCCTTCCCACGCCCCCTCCCGCCGGCCGTCTCTACAGCCCCTTTCCCGAGCATTCCCACATTCCGATCTCACTTCCTCTCCTCTGGGTTCTCCAAGCGCCTGTGGGCTCCGTCCCACAGACGGGCACCGACGACCACGCCTCCCCTCTAGCGGCGGGGCATTCCTTCTGAGTTCCCGGCCTGAGCAGCACCCTGGACCGCCCCCCCCCCCCGCCCCACGTCCTCCAAGCCTTTCTTCTCCCTCCCTGCTGGCCATGGTGGACTGACTTTCTGTCCTCCTCAGCTTCCCCCTCCAGGTCCTCCCTGCTCCGGGTCTGCCCACGTCCCTTTCCCCGGGCAGCTGGCTGGCTGACAGGGCCTCGCCCTCTGCCTGCTGAGTGCCATCCCACCTGACGTGACACATCTCTGCTTAGCTTCTGCGCCCTGCGCTGGGGTGAGAGCTTCCGGAGGGCAGGGACCTGGTCTGTGGTCCCAGGAGGGGCCCAACATGTGACGAGGACGGTTGGGTTGGTGGGTCTCCTAGACCCCCACATCCAGTGCGTCCTACTCTGCCCACTGCCACTGCCTTGGGGAGCCCCCACCCACGCCCCGCTGCTCTCCTGGGCCATTGTGGCCGCCTCCTCACGGGTCTTGCTGCCTCCAGATGCCCTCCATCCACTTCCCCTTCCCGTGGCTGCTCGGAGCTTGCATAGACGCGGACTGCCTAATGAGTCCTCTCAACAGCCCTAGGAGGTGGGACAGTTGTTCTTCCCACCATCGGGCTGAGCAGACTGAGGCTCGGAGGTGCTAGGTGACTTCCTGGGGCCACACCAGCAAGGGGCAGAGCCAGGTCTTAACCACTGCCGCCATCTGTCAGCTCTCTTTCCTGTCTGTCTTGGATCGTGAGCTCGGGAACCTCAGGCACCCCGGGTGGCCTTTTCCATACTTTGGAGACCTCCTCAGCACTACCCCCCGGCAAGTCCTCTCCCCCCCCCCCGCCCCGGGTCCCCGTGGTCTCTCATACCCTCCTCCCCTGTCGTGTCTAATGGAGTGAGGTGTTGTGATTCTCCGCTGGGCTGGAGTACCTTGGACATCTTTGAATTCCCAGAGTCTGCTGTGGAGCCTGGCACACAGTAGGTGCTCATAGAAACGTGGGTGGAATGAACGAATGAATGAATGTTCGATCCTGGGGCAAGATGAGGCACAAGCTCTTCCCCAAGGTCACGAGGCTCTGTGGTGGCGGAGGGGCACTGGGAGCCTCCCCCGGGCTCCCCCGCAGATGCCGTGTGCCCTCTCAACTCAGCCAGGCTGCACTGGGGGCTCTGAGCCCACGGAGGGCTGCTAGGCGAGGGCCCAGCCTCCTTAGAGACGAGGCTTAGGGCATTGACGCACTTCCCAGACAGCGACCACAGGCTGCATCAGAGATGAGCAATGGTCTCTGTGACGCCCACAGACAGGGACCCTCGGCCTCCCAGAGGAGAGCCCGCTGTCAGGCGGAGGGGACCACACGCTCACATGTCATATCTGAGCTGTCAAGTCCTGTGTCCCTGCCTTTGAGGCTTGGGGGTTTAATTACCTCCGGAAGGCAGAAGCTCTCTGAGCCATTCAGCAGGGCCTGGGAGGTGGCTGGGCTGGCGCAGGGGACCCAGAGCCTGCCCTCCCTGGTGCCAGGGTGCTGGGCAGGTGATGATAAACTTCATGCCCTCTGCACCCCTACCGCACCTGCACAGCTTTGCTCTTTCAGTATCACCTCTTCCCAGCGCGCAGGGAAGAGGCGGCCAGCCAGCCCTGTGGCCGAAGCTCGGGGGTGGGGGTGGGCATCGGGGTGGGGCAGGCGGCACCGTGGGCAGCAGCTAGGCAGGGATGAACGAGAAGGCAAAGACCTTCCAGAATCAGCGCTGAAGCAAAAGTGGGACAGAAGTTCTTTGCAGAAAGTAGGGGTGGGGCCAGGGAGGGCGGCCAGCGTGGGGCCTGGGGCGGCTCCTGTGTTTGAGCTCGCAGGGGACAGTGTCAGGTCCCTGCTCGGCTCTGGGCCAACGTGTAAGCCGCACAAGGCAGGGTCTGTGCGTTCCTCCATCCGCACTCCATACCCAGAGCCGTGCGGCCTCGGATGGCCAGGGACACAAGGGCGGGGAGTCTGTGACACACTCCCATGGGGCTCACGTGAGAAAAACGCCACCCTCGTGGCCAGAGGGCCGCAAGGGGGACCAGCGGGCTCTGGGGTGCAGGACGAAGAGAACTTGGAGCTTCTGGAAGGCACAGCCTTTAAGAAGTGCCACAAAGGATGGCCAGGATCTTGACAAGAGGAGAAGGGAGCGTGTATCGGTCGGCTCCGGCGGCCCTAAGAAAATACCGCTGAAGGGGTGGCTTCACCAACAGACCTGTACCTCTCAGTGTTCTGGAGGCCGTCTGAGATCAGGGCAGGGTCTGATGAGGACTCCCTGCCTGGTTTGCGGGTGGTGGCCTTCTGGCTGTGCCCTCCCTCCCTCTTCCTGTGAGGGCGCTAATCCCATCACGGGCCCCACCCTCCTGACCTCACCTAAACCTGACCACTGTGGGGGGTAGGGCTTCACTTCAACATATGGGTTTAGGGGTGATGCAGACATTCAGCCCCTAGCAAAGGACAACACTTCCCCCAAGAGAGGACATGGGACTGCCAGGCGCCCGAGGCAGGAATGCCCAGCGTGTGTTTGGGGCCCAGCACAGGACCGCCTGCTGCCAGGGTGAGGGGAGTAAGCAGCAGATGAGGCCTGGAAAGGGAGGTGGGCCCCACTGACACCAGGTGGGGGTGCCAGGCTGAAGGATTCTCGTGTAACCTGGAGGCGAGGTGCAGAGCCGTGTGGAACTTTCTGTGGATGGCAGGGCGGGTCCCAGGCACCGGGAAGACAACAGCAGGCACTGTGAGTCTGGTCTCCCCCGACCTGCCCCTCGACTCCCTGTCAGCAGCCCCGAAACCTGCCCCGGACGGCATGTGCTACTGATGCCTTTGGTCCCTGGGGCAAGGGACAGGGAGGGACAGCCCATCCTACCCGGTCCTAGGTCCCCAGTGACGGCCTCTGGTTTCTTTCCCCAGTGCTTAGCAAACGCCACAGAAGGCGTGCGGCTGGCTGCCCGCATCGTGGACGCTCCCTGCAACGAGATGAACACAGACACCTTCCTCGAGGTTCGTGGCCCCAGGGAGTCATGCCAGGGTGGGGCCAGGGTGGGCGGGGTGTTGATAGACCCCAAGGAAGTCCGGGCATACCCAGGGCTGGAGGGGGACGGTGCCTACAGCCTCGGCACCCTGCCTGAGGATGCCTGGGGCTGCCGCAGACAGAGTCCTGCTGTCCACCCACCTGCGAGGGGGGCCCCCAGGCCTCGGTGGAGGGGGGCGGGAGGACAGAGCCTCCTCCTCAAGGCCTCTCTGCAGGACCACAGCCGTGATCTACAGGAAACTGTAGTTTGGAGGGTGAACCTTCTGTCCTGGATTTCATCGTGCTCCAAGCTGGGAGAGTTGAGGCCCTGGCTTCCGAGCCTGCTCCTCTCCGCCATGCGGGCGTCGGCTCATCCCTGGCCCCAAGCCTCGGCCTCGCCTTGACTTAAGCCATCTTCACGTGTCTTTGTGTTGTTTTTTCCATGAACGTGTCCAGGAGATTAAGAAAGTTGGAAAAGATCTGGGGATCACCCCAACGATCATCCGAGATGAGGAGCTAAAAACGAGAGGCTTTGGAGGTGGGTAGGGCTGGGCCTTACGGGCCGTGGCCTCAGGCTGGTCCTGGGTGCTGGGGGTGGCAGGGTGGCTGTGGGTCACGCACTGTGATGCCTCAAGCTTCCCTTGAAAGGAGCCAGCCTTTGTCCAACCCCAAGGCCAGACCTTGGGAAGCAAACCATCTCTGGGGGAGAAAGGAGGTGCTGATTCAGACTCTGGAAGCTGCAGCGTCCAAGTCCTTCCCCAGCCCACTCCCTGTCCGCAAGGGCTGCTGTCCTGGCTGCCGGGGCCAGCTCAGCAGGACCCGTTCTGCTCCTTGAGCACACAAGCCCACGTTTACATCGGGGCCTTGTCATTATGGCTCTCTTTCTCTGGAGTCCTTCCCCAAGATGATCTCACAGAGGGACCATCAGACCCTGAACATCCTGGGTCGAATCCACCTCCTCAGAGGGCCTTTCCTGATGACCGGACCCATCCTCCCTGGCCCCCAGACACTGGAGATATGGTGACAAGTAGGATAAGGCACTTTCAGTCTGGCTGCGGGAGGGTCACCACGCTCCTTATCTATGGCTGCCAAACAAATTACCCCAGAAGGAAGCAACTGAAGGCAACATATAGTCCTATGGGTGGGGAAATCAGTCATGGCTGGGCTGGGTCCCGCGCCCAGGGTCTCTGCCACGTGGAGACCAGCATGTTGATCAGGTCAGCAGTCATCTGAAGGCTCAACCGGGGCCGGTGATGTGGTCCCTGCCAGGCTCACTCACAGTGCTGTCACCAGGCTTGGGGCCTTGCTGGCTGTTCCTTGTCATTTGGGCCTCTCCTTGAGCAGCTCACAAGTAGCAGCTGCTTCCCTCAGAGCAAGGTTTCTGGGCAAGGACGAGTGAGCAAGCAAGAAGGAGGCGAGGTCTTTTTTTGCAACATAGTCTTGGAAGTGGTATCTCATCACTTCTGCCATATCCAGAAGCGAGACGCAAGGTTCCAGCCACACTGAGAGAGAGGGGATTCCAGAGGCAGGGATCAGAGGGCGCTAGCCTAGAGGTGCCTACCACAGAACACATAAACCAGCAACAAGTGGAGGCAGAGGCTGCGAAGGTCAGGGAAATCTTCACAGAGGAGATGGTATTTACAGCGGGTTTGGCAGGATATGTGGGAGTTTGTCAGGCAGCCATTACTGGCTCTCATTCAGTTCAGTTGCCGGGGGCCTTGAGTCCTGGTCTCTGCCCACAAGAGGCTTTCTTGAGGAGACAGGGCATGTACACCCCAGGGCAAGGCAGTGGTGGGAGCGGGCTCGGAAAGGGTGGTGCGGCACCGAGTGCACAGAGGGCTCAGGGAGGGGCGAATGAGCGTGGGCTGGAGTGGCCTTGAAGCATTATCCAAAAATCATTTCATTCTGCAACGCTGTTCATTTCTTTCTGGGAATGATACAGTTTTGTTTTGTTGTTTTTTTTTTTCTCAGCGGGTTTTCTTGCCTAACGATACTTCGCACGGAATTCGTTTGCAGTCCCAGAGCATTGGAACTAATTTGCCTTCCCCGATCCCATGCTGGCCAGGGGGCAGGACAGGGGGCAGGGAGCTCGGGCTTGGACTGCACACTCTCCAGGAGAAATATTCACATGCCAGTGGGTATTTCCGGGGGAGAGCTGTTGTTTCTGGGGGGGCTGCTGGGAGTTCTCTGCGCAGTTCAACCTGAGCCCAACTGACCCTCTCCCTGTGCTTTCTGTAGGAATCTATGGTGTTGGCAAGGCTGCCCTCCATCCCCCGGCGCTGGCCGTCCTCAGCCACACCCCAGAAGGAGCCACACAGACCATTGCATGGGTGGGCAAAGGGATCGTCTATGACACCGGGGGTCTCAGCATCAAAGGGAAGGTGAGGTGCTGGGGCCAGTGCTTGGGCAGGTCCCAGGGTGGGGAGGGCTCTTGGGGGCCTCATCAGCTCTCAGAGGCGCTGGAGGAAGACAGCAAGCAAGGCTTCTGGGACCTTGGCATTGGGGCGTGCCTCTGGGGAGCCAGGTTTGGGAAGAGTCGGCGGGGCTGATTCCTCTTCTGAGGGGGAGACAGTTTCATGTCCACACTCCAGACAGGGGTCTGGAAACAAAAAGTCTGGACAAGGTCCAGAGGAAAGCCACAGAAATGATTAAAAGGCTGGAAAACGAGCCCAAGAAGGCAAGGTTCAAGGACTCGGTGGTTCAGTCTGAAGAGAAGGGCGTGGGGTGGTGCGGCCCCACGAGCAAGCCGCCTGCTGGTGTTCCTGTGAGGCCCGGCGGCAGAAGTCTCTCCTATGGGTGGCCTCTAAGTAGGGTCGTCTCAGGAGGCCGGGCACCTCAGGGCGCCAGTCGTGGTTGCATCTCTCGGCCACTGAGCTGCCTGCCCTCCTCCACGCCCAGCACATTCGGGCCTGCTGCGTGCTGGGAGCCGAGATGGCCCCATGAGGAGCAGGAGGGACACTTCTTCATCTGCTCCTGTCCCACACTTGGGTTGAGCAAACACTGGGCACCGGGCCTGGGCTGGGCTCTACGGTGCCAGGACTCGGAAGGCCTGGGAAGGAGCAGGCGTGTGAAATCTGTGCCCCAGGAGACCAGGAAGAAGAGAGCCAACATTCCCAGAGAGAAGGCTCTAGAAGAGAGAGCAGACCTCGAGAGCTGGCAGCCAGTGTGGCTCACAGATATGTCCTGTTGGCCCAAGGGCTGGTCTATAATTTGAATTAGTTACCAACATTTAAAAAACAGGAAAAATTCTCGAACACTGGCTGTCTTTTTTATCAGTTTTGTAAACTGAGGAGATCCGGCAGTACGGACCTCCATCTCCACCTGGAGGCATCCTGCTGGAGCCAAGAGGCACTGCCCGGTGGATGGAGCCCGCACGGTCTGGTTCGCCGCGGTGCCAGTGCTTTCTGACCTGAGCCCTGGTGTTGGTCAATGTTTCAGAGGGAGATTGTACGCTACCATTTGCACCGCTAGCCAGTCTAGTGCATTTGGTACCTAGAGTGGATGGTCTGTTCCTTTTTTTTTTTTTTTAACATCCCTCCTCCCGTAAACATTATTTTCAGGCCTAATCAGGAAATGATCGGAGAATAATGATTTAAAAAAAAAAACAAACACCAATAGTGAATTCACCTTTATTGAATTCCATACGTATTATCATGCCAGTAAAAAAATGAAAATAAGTATTACAGGGCCGCCCGACCGGCTCAGTCGGTGGAGCATGCGACTCTTGATCTCGGGGTCATGAGTTCGAGCCCCACGTGGGGTGCAGAGATGACTTAAAAATAAAATCTTTAAATAAGTAAGTAAATAAATATATAAATATTACAGCACACATAAAACAGCAATAGATCAATACTTTTAAATTACATTAATGTGATTTTTTGGATAGAAAGAACTTAATGCCTCCCTATTGGCCTGTTGTGGTAAAAGGAGGGTTAGCACTACAGTGTCTGTTTGGAGCCCTTTGCTTCTGTAGATTTGCCAATGACTTTATCAAAATTTTGCACATCTGTATGCTTACCAGGGACCGAGATTGGTCAGTCCATCTGCACTTATGGTTGATCCCAAAACACTGTTAATTTGAATTAGGAAGAGTTTCTGTCGCATGAGACAATCTGTACACCGATACCCAGGAAAAGTTTTTCACATAAGGGTCACTTGGCAGAGACTGCCCCAAACCCCATTTCCCAAGAAACTCCAGAAATCGCGATCCTGTCCATGTCTGCAGTTCTTTGAAACTGATTCTAGCGCCCTTCACAGGTCTGTGGAGTAAAATCGTGTTAAACACAAGTCCAGTGGCTCACATAGGCTGAGGGAGGCCGTGAGGCCCAGGCTCCCTGTACCCATGGGTTTGCTCGGAGTCCACTGTGGAGGCAGCACCGTGGGGAGTCACAGACGCCGGCCCCCCCTCCGCTGTCTGCTGGAAGGCACGCCGCTGCCTATCCAGCCAGCCCTGTACCTGGCAAAGGATGAGTAGCTAGAATAGGTGGGTTTGAACCTTTTATCTGTATGATTAGAACTCACTTCGACAGATTTTTCGGGAGAACCATTTTCCCACTGATGACAGCACGCCGACGGACTTTGAGTTGGTTACTTACTGTTTGCAGACTCTCCGCAGCCAGTGCGCCCCTCTGGTTGCATCTGGTACTGGCCAGCCCTCTCTCTGTCACCTGCCATGCTGGCTGGCTCTTATCCTGGAGGACAAGGTAGGGTAGGGTAGGAGCGGGTAGAATTCCCAGCTCCTTCCTCCTGGGAGCAGATGTTGGCTTATTGGAGGGCCAGAGTGAGAAGCGGGGGCTCCCGAGAATTATTAATCCTTTTGCTGGGGACACCAGACCCAATCCTGCAGGAGTCACCACTCCATCTCCAAAGACTTCAAAGGCAAATCAGGATCAGTGTGAATGCAGGTCTCAAATGTGTTAGTCTCAGGACCCCTTCCTTTCTTAACAAGTATTGATCCCAAGGGGATTTTTTTTTTTTTTTATTCAGAGTGCTATTTAACAGACGTTGATATTTACCCTACTAGAAATAAAGACTGGGAAAGATACTTAGTAAATTATTTTAATATAACAATATAAATCCATTGCATGTTAATGTAAATAATATAATGTTATGAAAATAACTATATTTTCCAAAATGAAAAGACATGAGTGAGAAGAGTGGCATGGTTTTACATTTCGCTGATCTCTTTCCTATCTGCCTTGATAGAAGACGGCTGTGATCACGTATCTGCTTCTGCATTGAGTCTCTTGTGATACGTTTGTCTGAGTTGAAATACAAAAAGAAAATCAGGCCTCACTTACTTTGTAGTTGGAAAAGGGAGAAATAGTTTAGTGCCCTTTACAAATAACTAAGGACATTCTTCTTTGCTATTACACCAAAACTCAACAAGTGGGAGTCTCGGAAAGGTGAGGGATTGGTGCGGGATCAGAAACCGTGTCAGTAAGCCTTTGCACCCTGTTACTTAATATCTACAGTCTACCTTGAACTGTGAAAGCATGATTTTGTAATATCATGCATGGGTCATCCAGAAGACGGAGTTACGCAGACCCTCCAAATTGTGGCCCAACACAGGATGTTTTTAAAAGTCACACTCGGTACCACCATCCATCTCGTTTTAAAAATCGCTAAGTATTAGGAAGCCGTCACGGAGGCAGAAGATACAGGTTTTTCAAAATTGTGATTTTTTTTTGCTTGAAAGCTCAAATTTTCCCACTGGCACCAGCTATGGTCAGCTGTTCCCCTGGACATGAGAGGTTCGCTTCTGCCGGACACCTGAGTCTGAATAACCCGTCACGTGTCAGTTGTTCTTTGAATTAAAACGGTGTTCTGGAGCACAGAGCCCAGCTGAGCCGAGCCCCGGGAGACCGTCCGCGCCTTCTGCTCGGACCGCCCGGCCTGGGGACAGTGGGGGTGCTCGGTGCGTGAACCTTCTGTTCCATCACAGGGAATCTTGCAAACAGCTGTGCTCAGCAGTTGAGCTTTTTGAAAAGTCCATCATTCTACTCCTTGAGCAAGGAGACTCAAGTGGAGTTGGCTGTGTTTATTTTCCCGGAGGGCGGACGCAAGTCCGGGGGCCGTCCCTGGCGTGGCTGCGGCGCGCCACCGCTCTGCTGCATCGCGCGAGTGTCAACCCCATGAAACGGGGGTTTCGGAAATCACCTCTTTCAGAAAAATAGGAGCAACGTGTGGGGAATCTGCAAAGCTCACACAGTCCGTTGAGTTACATTTGCAGTTTGGTGTTTGTTCGGTCTGCGGTTGGGAGGCCGCCCCGGTGACAGAGAGACACAATTTCAGTGACCGTCTCGAGCTACTCTGCACGGGCCATTTTGCCGGTGGTTTGATTCCAGATCTGAGGCCCCGTTTTTCCATTTAAACAATCCTGTGCTTTCTCACCGATTAGGTCAAAGAGACAGCTTATTTTCAATAGTGCTAGCTGGGTCATTTTCACTCAATTTAATTGTAAAAGCAGCTCGGTTTATGTCTAAAAATACTTTCCATTAAAATTCGAGGCTTGTGTAATCCGATAAGGGTTCGAAAAAATCACTCTGTCCATTTCAAACCCAAATCCTGCATCTGATGACCTGTTGTTAATTTAAAGTATGAACTTGTCAATTAGAGCTGGGAACCTATAAAATGTAAAAATGTGTAACCACTCTCAACCCGTTTGTAGAAAATCACAGCTCCCTCTGCAGCGGAAGGGAGCCTCCGCCGCTCATGGCCCTCATTAGACACCGACAGAGCGGGCGGTGGGGTGGGATCAGGGATGTGACAGTGACATTGGGGAAGAGTTCACATGAACCTGAGCGGATTGTTTGAGACAGTGACGTCAAGGAGCAGAGCTGAGGCCGAAAGTGTCGCCGAGGCCAGGCGGTGACCTGGGCAGGGTGGTCTGCTGCAGAAAGGTGGTCTGGGTGGTGGCGGGAGGGAGGGAGGCTGGTGCACAGAGGAAGATGGACGGTCCTGGGGGAGGGCTCAGTATGAGGGGGAAGGCACGTGGTACCTGGTTTTAACCTGCTGCGTGGCTACTGCAAGCCCCCCTGGGACTGGGGTGCAGGGGTGCTGGCTGGGAGGTCAGACCTCAGGGCAGTGTGAAGGGGGGCAGGCCTGATGTAAAGCTCTGAGGCTCTTCCTGGGACAGGGCCTGCGGGAGACGAGTAGAAGTGGGAGGGCTAGCAAAGGGAGCAGGGGCTGTGGGAGGAGGCCGTCGTGGGAACCAGAACAAGGCCCCGTCCCTCTGCAGGGCGCAGCCACCCCGGGGCCCTCTGCAGGGTTCACGCCGACTGGGCACCGCGTGCATCACACGTGGGCACAGCCCTCTGCCAGCAAGTGGGGATCAGAGAGCTTCGGAAGCCAGGAGAGGCCGCTCCCGTGTGCCCCCCATGTTGAGCGGGAATCATAGGGCCCCCGGGAGCCAGGCTGCTTGGCAGTGGCACTGCTGACCCAGCAGAGCAGGTGGCCTTGGGGAGCGGGCTCCTGGGAGAGGTGGGTGCGGGTGAGCAGGTGAGGTGTCCAGAGAGCTCAGGGATGGGGGGGTTCTTTGGGGGCCATCTCAGGGTGAGGGTCTGATTGTACTTGTCGGCTGAGGGCTGAGGAATGGGAACCAGGAAAATGGGAAGGCTGACACCACGGAGGGGAGGAGCGAGGCCACAGCCCACGTGGCAGCTTTGGGCAGCTCCCGGGGTCCCCTTCCCCTCCCACCTCTGGTGCATCAGGTAGCCCCCAAAGCTCCGCTCCAGCGAAAAGAGCCCATCACCTTTGGCCATTCTGTCCCATTGCTTCTGGAGACCAGCCACTCGACCAGTGGGAGTTTCATGGCTTCTGTGTGTGCTCTGGGGACCCGGCAGTGGGTCGCGCAGGTCTGGGGGAGCCATTCTAGGGCCCTTGTGTGCCGGGCAGGGGTGGGGCACTGTGGCTGGCGGGGCCGACATCCACTCACGCTCACTTTGTGCCCCCTCTGTGCCCCCTCCAGACCACCATGCCTGGGATGAAGAGGGACTGCGGGGGTGCCGCGGCTGTGCTGGGGGCCTTCAGAGCCGCCATCAAGCAGGTGAGTGTGGCCCCGCCCTCTGCAGTCCTCAGGATGGAGGGCTCCCCGGTGTGAGCTGCCCCTCCTTCTCTCCCAGGTCCCCACTCGGTGCTCCCGAGTCCCCCTAGCTCCGTGTCTCTCTCCCTCCTCTGCACTGCCGTGTTGGGCACCCCTGGGCTCCCAGAGCTCCCTGCCTTCCACCGGGGCTGCTCCACCTGAGTGTCACCTCTCCTGGGGGTGTCACCTCTCCAGAGGGTGTCACCTCTCCTGGCGGTGCAGTTGCTGGGTTGTAGGGTAGCTCTATTTTCAACTGTTTGAGGAACCCCCATACTGTTTTCCAGAGGGGTTGCACCAGCTCGCATTCCCACCAACAGTGTAGGAGGGTTCCCCTTTCTCCACATCCTCGCCTGTCCGGGGCGAGAACTGTCCGGACCCCTGCCCCCCTCACCTCCAAGGGTGCTGCAGTGGGGTGCTGAGGGCCCCCTACCCCCCACCAAGGGCCACCGCCTAGAGGCTCCACTCCTTTTTTTTTAATTCAATTAATTAACATATAGTGTATTATTGGTTTCAGAGGTAGAGTTCAGTGATGTGTCAGTCTTATATAACACCCAGTGCTTGTTACATCACGTGCCCTCCTCAATGCCCATCCCCCAGTTACCCCATCCCCCCCACCCCTCCCCTCCAGCAACTCTCAGTTTGTCTCCTAGAGTTAAGAGTCTCTTATGGTTTGTCTCCCTCTCTGACTTCATCTTATTTTATTTTTCCCTCCCTTCCCCTATGCTCCTCTGTCCTCTTAAATTCCACATATCAGTGAGATCATACGATAATTGTCTTTCTCTGATTGACTTATTTCGCTTAGCATAATACCCTCTAAGTTCCATT